CACCTTTTCTCTTAGTCTAGTCAAGGATGTTATGTGTCATTAAGTTCCCAATCAAAATATACCCAGTCACTCTCCTCAGTCTACATTACAAGTATAGTTCCATTCCAAGCCTCAGTTTCAGCATTCTCTTCTGGAACTTTTATTTGGTTGCATACAGAAGGTTCTATTCTGCCTGCCAGCCCTTCTCTGTGTTCTCAAGTACCTGAGTTTGGCCCACCAGAAAAGAATTCCCAAATGCCAGCTGTCTGGTCTGCTCAACCTGCCCTTTTGCCCAGACTCCCAGAGTAACAATTGAACCATTAAGAAATGTATCTGGATCTCTCCTTGACAGAGCCTTCAACACAATAACCTATCAGACTGACCACTGCTGGCCATGAAGCCTGGCCCCAACACCAGTCCCTTAAGGAATGATTCTGGTGTCACATCTAGATTCTTCCTTAAAAGGCAGGAATTGGGAAATCAAGAAATGTCCTTCTTTGACGCCATAAGTTTTTAACTGACTTCTTTATAATGAACATTTTGAATTTCAAATGTCTTTAGTTATGACTGAACACATCTCTCCCTCTCCTGCTCTCTCCTCCCACCCCTAAAACACACAACTACAAGAAGAACATTTAGAAAGGCTGCCGCACTCAGGGGTTTTCTCAGAGTGCTCTGGAGTTCCTGACAGAAATAAATCCTCTTCTTACTTGCCCTGAGGCATAGTTAATTAACTCTTCCTTAGGTTGGAGTTCACCCAATTGTCCCTTAAGTGTGTTCTGTAGCCCTATAGAATGCCCTACAGAGGGGCTGCAGGGTGAAAGTCACACTTCCCACAGGGTGTCCAACTCAAGAATCTGGTAAGAAACAAGACAACTGAGCCTCATTGCTTCCATATTTCCCTCCAACAGGAAACAAGGAAGACATTAAATAGAGTTCTCTAAACAATTGCAACTATCTTCTAGTTTCCCAAAGTGAGTTATGATGAGGATTTGTGGACTCTATAATGTGTCTTTCTTTTGATTTAAACTAATGGTGCTGGCTTCTTTCCAACTTGGCAAAGTAGAGGTGGGTATACATCAGCCAAAACAAAGTCAAACAGTGGGGAAGGGACCTAAAATCATGTGGGAACTAGATCATCTTCTATAATTATTATTTTTTTAATTATAGAATCTTCGGCAGTTTCCTGGCTAGTCTTAATACCAGATACATCTACCTATTCCTAATACCAAAAGCTTGTAAAGTTCTACAATAATAGTGAGAAGAAGAATAATTTACATGATCCTTACTAAGCACTGTACTAAGTACTTAACTCTTGAAATTCTCAGAATACTGTGTTGTAAATATGACAAGAAAAAAGTTTTTCTTAACTTCCTTAGAAAAGAAAACTACATTGCAGAAATAAACATAACCAAGGCCAGCTAGTAAGGGGCAGAGGAGAAATTTAAACCTAACTCCTCTTTCATACCCATGAAGATGTAAACAACTCAATAAATTGTGTTTGGGTGTAATATCATTGCCCTCTTGATGAACGCTGAACCAGATTGAGAGCATCTTCTAATTGTTTTGTGAAAAGGCACTGACATTAAGTGTAACTTGTGTGATCTATTTTGATCCACCCTTTTTCACTCTAAGCATTATTTGAATAAGAACTTACTAATAATCTGAGCAGTTGTTACTTCAAAATATGTACGTAGTATTACACAGATAGATGACTCAAGCTTGACATCCAACCTTTAAAATTTTCAAATTCATGTGTACATGATTAATTTTTCCCCTTAGAGTTATGACAACATTCATATGCTCTTCTCTTTTGAACTTGGCACTTTAATCATTTTGGAAACATGATAAGATAGTTTGTAGTATGATCAACAGGTTAGAACACTACAGCATTTGTCTACTCTTTTCCTATAAACATCACATTTTCCTACTGTTTCTCCTTTACCCCTTGTCTGTTTGCCTCTGTTTCCCTCCAGTGAGACTTATTTTTTTTCCCTTTCATCTTTGAATTTCTTTCTTTCCCTAACATCATGTGAGTTACTTCAAATGAACTTGGACTTCTTTGATGACATCTAATTGTGAAAATTCTGATTATAGATACTTCCATTTATTTGGACTGTAAAGACATGTATTATAGAGACATTTATTTTTATTTTTATTTATTTATTTATTTATTTGAGTTGGAGTCTCACTCCGTCGTCCAGGCTGGAGTGCAATGGCATGGTCATGGTCGCCACAGCCTCAACCTGCTGGGCTCAGGTGATCCTTCCTCCTGAGCCTTCCAAGTAGCTGGAACTACAGGCATGCGCCACTATACCTGACTAATTTTTTTTTTAATTGTAGAGACAAGGTCTCTCCATGTTGTCCAGGCTGATCTCAAACCTTGGGGCTCAGGCAATCCTCTCGTCTCTGCCTCCCAAAGTGCTGGGATTACAAATGTGAGCCACCGTGCCCAGCAAAGACATTTATTATAAAAACATTTATTTCATAAAATAGGCTTGTCAGCCCTGTCATAAGACATAGCACTCCATTATAGCTTTGGCATGGGTTCATAAAGAAAGGTCATTTTATTTTAAATACATTATCACATGCAATAACAAACACGAATTATAAGGATATTGCAGGCTCTTGAGCTATTCTTCAGCTCGGGCCCACTCTGTTCTTTTCTTTGGAGTGTACTATCCTTGTCGCTTTTGCTAAGTAAACTACTCTTTGTTTTTACTCTCAATAAAAAAAAAAAGGTATTGCAGAAAGCTTAGCTGACTGCTGCTTCTAGCACCTTCAAGATCTGTCTCTTCCTAGTTGTGATTCTTAATACATTTCATAGAGTAATAAACTCCTCTTGCCTTAGGATCAGGATCCCAAGCTATTCACTACATGTCTATATGGAAGACATGTTTACCCTTATATAATCAGTGATCCCCATCTAGATGTCCAATGCGTGCTTGTTCTGTGTAGTAACTGATCTCCTTTCCTAGACCTTCAGGCTCCATCAGATCCTTCCCTTAAAATCATATATCCTATCCAGCTATCCATGCCCCAGCAAGACAATATTGACATGGTTGAGTAAAAGGCTCAACTGTTTTAGTATTCTAAATTGTATCTTTTATTCTAAAAAATTTTTTTCATAAAAAGTTAAAATAAATGTTTGAAAAACTCATTGATACTATACAGTAATATGTTATAGATTCTGAGCATCTATCTCTTTTATAGGCAACATAATTACAAGTGAATTACAAATGCAGACTTTATGACTCTAATTAAACTCTAGGCCACAGCACATTAAAAACAGATTACACACATTAAGCTAGATGTAAAAATAAATAAATATGCTTCATGCTTTGCACTATCGAGATAAATGAGGGTAAACAATTGCAAATAACTTATATTTATCTAAAATTTGCATCAACATAACCAAAACATTTTCTTGAATTTCAATGAAGATAAAGTTCTTATACTTAAATTTCATATACATATACAACATACTTTCTCTTACTTCTATACTTAATTATTCTCCAAGGACATCTTGAAAGTATTTCCCAAGTGTGAGAGACTGAAAGAGGTTCTATATTTTAGTTGTAAGACTATATATTAGCTTTAAGAACATTATAATTAAATTCAGAAGTATTTAGTTATAAACATTTTATTGTATACAAATTAAATTAATGGACTAAAAATTAATATGAAGTACTTTGAAATTTCAATATCATTGTAAAACTAATTAGTAAAGCAGATCTTAAGGAAATGTCATACAGAATGGTTGCACCTCAGTTTCCATACTTGGGAAACTCATCTATCATGCAAGTGTTTTCTCTGAAGTTTGTGAATGTTTAAGGATTGGGTTACATTTTGAAAAGGTGCTTGTTGAATATTGTGTTTGTAAAGTTCAGTTCCAGTCTTCATTGCCACTTTTCACATCTTACTTCTCTAGAGAAGAATAAGGGAATGACAGGATTCTCATTCCCTTATTCTAGCTCCTTTGATATGGACAAGCACATGATGAAGTAGAGAAAACTAAAAGAAAGCAAAAATATCTTCAAGCAAAAATATCCTGGGCTGCAGAGATGGGTATAAGAAAAACAAACAAATATTTCAAATAGAATATTAAGGACTTGAAGCAAATAAATTTGAAGTTATTATGTCTAAGAAAATGAGATGATTTAGCACAGGTATTCTAAGAGTTTGAGAAGATTCTGATGTTTATGGGAGAAGGTAACATTGCTGGCAGTAAAATATAAAAGCACAGAAAGGAATTCTTCTCAGGAGGTCTATAGAATGCACATGGGCAATAGCAATACCCCTTTGTCCTGCTCAGCCCTGGCTCCATACAGAAGAAAGAAGAGAGGTAAAGATATAAGAAAGAGATTGGATAGAAGATATTACGTGGTTGAAAAATATTTTTAAAATAGAAAGAGTTATGCTTCTGAGAAGATTTTTAGACTGTGTCTGGATTTAAGATGCGGAGATACATCTTATTTCATATTGTAATATTCAATTTAGAATCCATCTGAAGTAATGACCTTATTGAAATACCTACTTCTTCTCATCTGGTTTGTGCAAGATATTCAAAAGGTACCAATGGTCCTGTAAAAGCTTTCTTATTGAAATGTTCTTAAGTACCACATTTTACTAATGGTGAGTATCTTATCAAGAAAATAGAAGCAAAGCAATTTGTCTTCCATTGTGTTTTCTACCACTAAGTTTGCATTAGGAGAGGCTGGTGGTTTAACACACAGGAGGAAACATAAGCATCAGAAATTTCACAGAAATAAATAGAAATGTGCCACGGACTTCTGAGGTTTGTTGGACTAAACCACCCCCTCTCATGGTAGTCCTGAAAAAGAAATGTATTCAAAACATAGGTTGAAAAAAATACCTGTCAGAGGGGCGGATAATAGGCTTTTGACTTATGCATTTTATGAAAGTCCTTTGTGTGTTCTTTTGGCTTCTAGTCCTATTCAGTTTTCACCATGAGCTATGATTTGTTTGTGGGAGCAAAGTAAAAGAAGCCTATGCCTTACCGCCTCCACTTCGGCAGGGTCATACCAGACATTGATGTAGGGGTGCTGTAAGGCGTCATCCACGGATATCCTTTTTGCTGGGTCAATCACTAGCATCTTCGACAACAAGTCCCTGGCTTGGCTGGCTGAAACAGTGAATGAGAAAAGCAACCAGTAAGATTTTTATTTTAGTAAGAAAATTTGTTAGATAGAGAAGAAATTAAGAAAATAAAAAAGTAAGTAGTACCTTCCTTCCAAACATCATATTTACACCTGTTTCTGTATCTTTAAGCCTAAGGCTTCATCTGGGGTTCTTTGAAGGCTATAATGCTAAGACTATATAATTATTTACTCAGATTTTTAGGTAAAATTTATCAACCCAGAAATTTTGTATAAGCAAAGTAATCTGTGTGAACATAGGATGAAAAGGATAAAGACTAATGGAAGTACAAATGCATGATATTCCACAAGTATGTGGGTGACTGTTTGAAATTAATCAGTGTGTGTGTGTTTATAATGTCATTCATACAAGGGAATTACCACAATTTGAGTATTCAAATTGACTTAAGAGATTTGGTAGTACAAATTTCTTGTATACATAAAAGCAATCTGAAGAACTGATGTGATGGAAATAATATTCAACCACTAAATTTTATTTTAGCATTCTGTAGTCATCAGGCATTTTTACTCAACAGAAGCATGATTTGATGAAATCCAGTAGCTAGAAACTAAAGTTATTCCAACACTACACCAGACACTAATGGATTAACTAATGGATTAACCATTAACTTTATGGTTGTGGGCAGTGACAGTTATAAAATTATATGTAATCAGTAAGCATATTTATTTAATAACATTGCTAAAACACATTAATTTTAATCTCTAGAATATATAAAATTTTGCATAATATACAGTTTTAACAAAAATAGGAAATATCTTAAATCAATACTATTACCTAACTGATTTGAAAGTTGAACAGTGAAAATACTCAGTGTATTCCAAATAAACAGTAAAATTTCAAGTAAAGAGAATAAAATCTAAATTGATTTTTTAAAAAATCAATATATTTGAATCTATGGATGTGTATCTTTATTATCTAACCATTTTTTTCAGATCAAGGCAACTACGTTTATTGTATGCATTTGAAAACTATATAAAATATAAAAATCAGAAAATACCACCTATCTCCACTGGCAACCCTGATTGCAGGCATATTTTTTTCCAGTGCCGTTCATGTATTTTTCACTTAACTTTGACCTTACTCTGTTAAAATGCAACAATTATTTTTAACTATCCTGTAAGTATTTTCTTGTGTTATTACATTTTAATAAATATACCTTCTGACCTGCATAATAAACATTTGTATATATAGCCCTGAATTGTACCCCACATCTTTATAATAAAAAAAAGAAAAGAAATAAATATACCATCTGATGTCTGGACTAACATAAAAAAATCACTAGTTAAATCAGACTTGAAGACTTTTTATTTCTAGTAACAATTTTCCTAGGAAACTCAATCCTAGTAATTATTATCATTACTTTCACACAAAAACTCTGAGGCTCACAAGAATAACAAAAATACTTAAACATTAATTCAATATTTAATCTTTCTCATTGCCATTGGTCTCCTAATGACCTAACAGGTCTGTGTTTGTTCATTCATTGGTTCACAAACTCTTTGATTTGTAACTAATTTTATACTCAAACTCACGTACTCCACTACCATTAAATACTACCATCAAATCCATCAATGTTTCTGCTCTTAGCAAGAATGTGGGCTGGAATAGGCTCTTCATCAATGGCATGAGCTATATCAATACCAAAGTATCTCATTGCAAATAATAATCAATACTGTTTGTAGAAAACAAAATGGGAAAATATTTCAATGCTTTATATTTCATTGGAAAGCAAATCTATTATGCTGTTTTCCAAATACAGTAGAATAAATTCACCTCCTTGGTTATTTATGTATTATGAGTCTTTGTGATTGGTCAATTTTACATTAGAAATTAAAATTAAATACTAAATGTGTAAACTAGTTTACCATTTGCATAAACAGTATAATTGTAGTTGTATTAAAAAATAAACTCAAGACAGCTGGGATTGCATTATGAAGCATGATATTTTACTTAATCATTTTTCTGTTGTGATTTCATTCAATAGTTTAATGAGGGCTTTGTTCTCTGTATCATTACAAGTGTCTTCATAAGAAGGAATTACTTTTACCTGCTATCTCAATTAATATCAAGAAGGATTAAATTCTATGAGATCTCTACTTGGTATGTTAGCTCTCTTTCAATCTGCATAACATTGATCTTGAAAGCAGTTGATTTGGTAATAAATTAGTCCACTGCCATTCAGAGTCCACAGAGGCAGCTGAAGGGAGAAATATAACTGTGCAATAGAAGGGTCAAGAACACAGAAACAATGTTGCACATTTGAAATCAATTAGATAAAAGTTTGGAGGTGATGAAAAGATCCTAGAAAATATTAGCACCACATTTTAGTTTCTCTGACTCATTTAAGTCTACCTTAGCTTTCTCGACTAAATTTGTAAGTAAAATTTGTAGGTAATTGTCCACTTAACATTTTGAGGTTTAGTTTAAAATGTATGTGTCTTAAGTTTTTTTTGATAACTTATAAATACATTTTTAAATTATTTTTATTTTACAGTCACTGAATATTTACTATGAGATGTTCTAAGTGTTTGACAAATTATTAAGTCAATTAATCCTTCCAACAACTCTGTAAGATAGACACTCTGCCTTCATTTGTTAAAATAGATAAAGAAAAAGTAAGTAATCTGCTCAGGGTCACACAGATTTTAAAGAACATCGGCAAAAGTTGAATCCAAATGCAGAAATATCAGGCGTATTTTAAAATCAGATTTTCAAGAGTACCCTAAATTATAAGTTAAGTATTACTATTTATTTATTTATTTATTTATTTATTTTTGAGTTGGAGTGTCACTCGGTCGCCCAGACTGGAGTGCAGTGGCCATTCCCAGCCACCGCAACCTCAACCTGCTGGGCTCCGGCGATCCTTCCACCTCAGCCTTCCAAGTAGCCGGAATTACAGGCACGCGCTACCACGCTGATTTTTTGATTTATTGTAGAGATGAGGTCTCGCTGCCCAGGCAGGTCTCGAACCCGCGGGTTCAGGCAATCCACTCACCTCAGCCTCCCAAAGGCACAGGATTACAGGCTGAGCCACCGAGCCCAGTTAGGTATTACTATTTATTATGTAAATTGCCAAACTTATTTCATGTCTCCAAATGAGACTAGAGCATTATTATCTCAATGTTGTGGATAAAGATATTGATGTGTGTTACTTGAAAGGATGGACTGAAAGAGAGAAGTCACTTTGTTTTGTTCCTAAATCTTAACACAATAATGAGAAAGTAAAAGCTGTGTCCTGGAAGAATGCATACTTTAGATAAAGATTAACTTTGCTGACTTTGTCTTTCCAAAAACCCAGATCCTTCAAACATGACCAGTATCTGCCCATTGTAATCATAAAGCAGACCCTCTCTCTTCCTCAAGGTCTACAAATCATCCACCCAAAGGGGGCATCTGTGCTTCTGGGCTTGATGTGTTGTTAATAGTTTACTGTAACCAGCCTCCAGTCGACTACCTGGAGTCATGAGATACCAGTGCCTGATGATGTCAAGACACAAGACTTGTGATTTCTGTTATCTACATCAAAAAGTGCAACTTTAAATATTCTCCTTGACCCAAACTCCTCTCCAAGAGCTTTAAATATACCAAGTTCCTCTTATGATAGCAGAGGAAGTAGACACATGATACTTGGCCTAATTTGTCTCTCTGTTGTTTCAGCATACATCATCCAGTTAAATGTAGTGAAAAACTGCATGATCAGGAAAAAAAATTATTCTGGAATAAATTTTGGTAAGGAACAAAATAATGCAAATTCAAACAAACAAACAAACAAACAAACCCAGTTCCCCAGCCTTCAATGCCACACTCATCTTGAGTGCCGGCCCTTTTCCTGTCTGTGGAAAGTGATCTTTTCTTAAATAAATCTTTTCTTCCTCCATCTCTTGGTGTGTTGTAAATCTTTGTGTTACTCGGATCTCTGGCTACCAGCGTGCATCTCTGGGCACGCTGACTCAGGTGGTACTGTGCCCCCTTTGGACCCTCCATCCCTAACATTACTTAAGTTCCTAACATTACTCAAGTATATTAACCACAAAGTGGTAGAAAGAATTACTTGTTAATGAAAGTGTCTTTATTGAATAAAAAACATGTAAGTGAAAACTTATTTACTACTCTAAAAGGGGGAAAAAATGGTCGTTAGGTGGTCCACAAAATACAAATAATAGAAACTCAGATACCAACACTTGCACCTACAAGATTTTGCAACTGAAAACTTGTGTTGAAAATATTGTCAGGTAATAAAGAGGATTAGAACAATGAGTTTCAATGTATATCATGTTGGTCTTTTAGAATTATACTTCAAAAAATAATTTTAAGATTCAAAATAAACCCTCATGAAATAGTTAACTCACACCACTGTCACACATTTTATTCTCACCCTTCCTTCTGAATATCCAGGCAATTCTAAAATCCTTGGCCACACCTCTTTGTAAGAATGATCTTTTAAGGAATTCCTCTCCTCATGTTTGAGATGATGGGTATGCTAATTCCTGTGATTTGACCATTACACATCATATCAAAATATCACCCTGTATCCCATATACATGTACAATCATTAAGTATCAGCTAAAAATAAGAGGGGGAGAGAGGGAGAAAGAACACCAAGCCACCATCCACATAGTGGTTCTCAAGTCATCATTAATGAGCATACCTTTGAGTTTATTGTGCTCAGAATCCGCTGGGAAGAGGGAATCTGGAAAGAGCTTGGGAAAGGTGAGTCCCGCATACTTGGGCCGATTCTCTACATAGTTTCGTACTGTGGGTTGCAATTTCTTCATGAATTCTGGACATGGTGTTCCTAGTTGTTCAATTACTTTATTCCACTGATCAATATCTGAGAATTGAATAGTTAAGGGAAAAAAGTGCAGACCACCAGCTCTTGCCTCTCAATAGTTAGGAGGCTAACTCTTAGAATCCTGAATAGTCACCAACACAACTGGAGTATTAGTAAGCAAAAAAAAAAAGGACGAAAATATAAAAGCCGAATTGTCAATGAATCCTCTTGGAGTTTTAAATTCATTTTTGGAACTTGTATACTTTTGGAGAGCTAGCACTATTTAACAAAATAGGATATCATTCAATAGTCTTTGGGTTGTACAAATAAAATCTTATTCAAATAACACAAGAAGAATCTCTTTTATTGAGATAAACTTTTATATAATCATATGATTTAGAAGAAAAATATGATGACACCTCACAGTGACATTTTTTATCCTAAAGTTACCTTAATTATGTATATTTTTTAAATAGCAAGTACACAAAAAGTTTATATAATATTCATTTACATCTTCCTAATTACTTTTCAGATTTTTTTCTTCTCTAAAAATCCAGATACTTCATCTGTTAATGTTTTCTATTCACACCCTTTACACATATCAATATAATTTTTGGTAGTAAAATAGCTCTTTAATTCTTCTCCAAAAACCTAAAAATTATATGTATAAAACAAAGTAGTCACCTATTTCAGGCCTATTGTTTTTACTTCTGACAACCCTGAATATTGTTTTCAACACAATATGAGAGTAGACAGAGGGATGTTCAATTTAAAACAACAGATTTCCATTCAAATACATCCAAGTTTGGAAAGTACATTAAGCATGGGAAATTCCTCAGGAAAAATATTACCTCTCTATGAAAATTAATGCCCACAAAAATTGGAGTTAGATCTTTTGACAGACATGTTCACTAATTGAGATCCCCTTTTTATCTATCTTTAATATTTGATATATTAGGGTCTTGAGAATGATAAACTCTATCCATGAAAACTCTGAAGAACCAGCTAGAAACAACTGCTTTCAAACAAATTTCCATGCCATTGTCAGTGAATGATAGAGGCCTTGGAAATTCTTCTTAAATCCAAACCATAAGCAGTGCTCTCTTCTACATTGTTTAATCTTCTACAACTCTATTCTTTACTGTTAATTAATTTGTTTCCACTTGTGTAATGCATGGCAATTTAGGGACTCTTGTCATGATATTACTTAAAGTTTGTAAAGTCTTTATTCCTAGCTATTCAAGAGGGTTGGACTAATAAGATTTGACAGTCCCGATAGAAGACAAAATTAACTATAGTCAACAAAAACAAATGCATAATACAAACACAGTAGATAGGAAATTTTAAAAAGATATAATCAAATTAATTTGCAAGTCCTCTTTTACCTCCCTTATAATCTGGATCAATAGAACTTGAATTATACATACTCTCTCATTTATTGAGATAAAAAAAGGGACTATAGATTATCAAGAGGTGAAATGAACGTGGGTAAAACTGAATAATATTCCTTTATTAAAAAGTAACAATTCAATAAGAAAATGCTTCAATAAAAGTTCATTTAAATTACTGTGTGCTTGAGGATAAAGTAGTAAATCAGAATCATTAGAAATAAAGAAACTAACATATAAGGTTATAATTACAAGTTACTCTTAGACAAGAACCCATGTTAATACTATGAATATAAGCAAGCTATAACTACTTAGAAATACTTAAGTAGAAGACATTAGTGTAGTTAAAGAAAACTCAAGTGCTTGTCATTAAAAATTATGAAAAAGAAGTATGTTCTTTGATATAGTTAGGTTACCAAGCCCTACCAAGCCATCATTTACTCATTGGTCAGACTTCAGAATTCTGTTTGTCAAATATCAAACTTAAAACAGAAGCAAAGAAGCTGTCAGATTTTTTTCTATAAAGAAGTTACTTAACAAAGTTGGCAAATTAATTCCAACACACTATCAGTTAATTACATTTAGCTAGAAATATGAGGTTGTTCAGCAAAGAATTAATTGCTTTTAAAGTAGCATTCCCAAAGCAAAAATAAAAATAAAAATAGTATTTTTACAGTAAAGTTTGAGAGTCAGATATCCTGGAACTTGTCAAAAAAGTTAAACAAAGTTCAACTGTTTCCTTTAATAAGTCATAATTAGAAACTACAGACACACTCATTGTACTTTCCTAGCTCAGACTGCTTCTAAATGAAACACCATTGTGGTCTTTGATGCAATGGTTTACAAAAAGAGGCGTGGCAAAAATATTATTGTCAATGAAATAGTTAAATGTTAATACTACAAATGTGAAGTACCGCCATCTTTAAAAGTCTTTGCCTTTATTTTAACCAATCCTTTCCATTTTTTCTCCCCATAAGTGGTAAGAACTTGTTTTCCAGAAGTTCATAAGATCATAACATGAGCAGCTATGGCCAACTTAGTTGAGTACCTGATTTTGCTTTATAATCATAATTGACTAAATATAAGCCAAGACTAGAAGTCATACCTTCTGTTTCCAACTCCCATGCTTATTCCAAGTATTCCAGTAAGGAAAAGAGTAAATTTGGAGTTGATGTTATGAAAAATTGCTTTAATTTGGCCATAAAATTGATGGCATGTTTTGCCATAGGCAATTCCCTTAAAAAATGTCTCTGAAGTACCTTTTATAGTCTATCAGGTCAACACGGTCCCATGACAAAGTTAATTTTATTACTATTCTACATAGAAAATAAGGTAGTTTTTAAATGGGGAAAATAATCAGATTTCCACAATGACTACATTTTTTAAGACATAAAATATTAACTTAATTTTATTATTATATGTTCATGTTAACATCATCATGTTAACATGGTAAATTTTTTTAAATGGTCAAAATCATTCTTGTAAAAGAACTTATTTAGATGACTTTAGAATGTCATCATTTTTATACCACAAAGAGTGAGAATCTGAATATTTGCAGATCCTAGCCTTGCACAGTTATCAGAAAAGTGATAAATATATTTGTTTTAATATTTTTGATCTTCTGCTTCCGAAAGAATCACCCAACATCAAAGGCACGGAATACAAATGGAAACATGTCATTTAATTTTAAAAATTATGTATTTTTCAATTAAATGTCAATTAAACTTCCTCATTTAATTCTAAATTCACTATATAAAAAATAGAGTTATATTGCAAAAAAATTGATTTTTATGAGTAGAGTATGATGACACAATAATGTGCAAACGTGATTAGTACTAAAACCTTCAATAAATGGTATTGTAGTAGGAAAATAAAGCAACATAAATAGAGTAGTTAAAATGAGTATCTGGAATCCTAAGATTGAAAATTATTCCAGTAAATATTATCAGTTAACTAAGAACATACATTTCAAGTACTTCTCTTGCTTCAGCTTCCTTGGTCAGGGAACTTTCTCAAATAATAATGACTTGAATACAATATATGTAAAGGTCACTCTTTGGGGTCGCTCATGTACACAGGCCCTTATAAGACTAATCTTTTTCTGGGTGTTTCGGGTCATAATTATTAATAAAATTTATACTATCTACATTCAAGCCTTCAGAAGCTATCATAGAGAGCTATTTAATGACCTCATTCTACCATATCCTGTAAATTACTACATCTTCTTATGTTTTCTCCTATCACCAATTGCCTTTTGTTATCACAAACTTGATTTCAAGAGCTGATATATTGATGGTTTCTGACTTGCTTTCTACTCTGTTTTAGGTCTTATGTCAAATCCTTTGTGGAAAAATAAAAATTTGACCACTATTTGCAACTTAAATAATACCAGTATTTGTCTCCAAATCCTTAGCTGTGCTCCTAAAGATAATATTGCCTAATAGCAATGTGTATGTAGAATAGTTCCAGGAGAGACTACTTATCTTGCAAGCCACACCAGCTACCTAAATACAGGGATGAATATAATTGTGTGGTGTTATATTGGCTCTGTAGGAAGGAATGCTATGATCAGTTCGTAACGTCTACAATGAATGTGCAATGAGGAAATGGAGGCATGTGTACCATATGTAATTATGACATAAAACCATGGTTCTCAAATTTCATAACATAGAAAACTTACAAAAATATAGTTCTCTCCTCTCAAGTTGATCTAGAGATTCTGAGTACACAGATCTAGACTGATATCATAAAAAATACCAGTGGTAATTGTCATCCAGATAGACCTTGGATTATATTTTGAAAAATACTAAGATAGAATATGCTCAGTCTCTTGTGAGTCACTAAGTCCAGATGTAAAAATAAAATATTAATGTGTTTCAGTTTTATGACACAAATTAGAATAAGTTCAAGTTCACCAAAAGGTTATACTACACCTATTTGCTATGGAATACATAGGCGTCCTTCATGGGAATAGTTAAAAGAAAGAAAAATCCTAATCTTTATTTCTTTTCCCCATGTCACTTTCCTGAAAAGAACATGGGAAATTATAGTAAGTGGTACACACAGGCTCTCAGTAAAGGGACAGGGCTTCTGCTGATCATTGTCTAGAGAGAATTGAAATTATATGTTGCTGTGGAGTACTTCCCATGGAGAATACAAGTTATTCAATATAAAATTCAAATATTCAGCAACTGATTTCAGTAATGACAGTTTTTTTGTGATAGAATTTATTCTTACAGCAGGGCACAGTGGCTCACGCCTATAATACCAGCACTTTGGGAGGTTGAGTTGGGAGGATTCTTTGAATCCAGGAGTTCAAGACCAGCCTGGGCAACATAAAAAGACCTCATCTCTACAAAAATAAAAATAAAAAATTAGCCAAGTGGGAGTAGTGCATGCTTATAATCCTAGCTACTCAAGGAGCTCAGGCAGAAGGATTGCCTGATATCAGGAGGTCGAGGCCTCAGTGAGCCATGAGTGTACCACTGCACTCTCTGATATAAATAATTAAATAAATAAACAAATAAATAAACAAACAAATAAATAAATAAATAAATAAAATGTCTTTGTTTGAAAGACCCCTTACAAGACTCTATACCTAATTTTATATTTGTAACTTTAATTATTTTTTTGTAAGGAGCATCCTCCTCCAATTATATGATATTCTGACCT